TCCTCCGCGCACCCCACTTGGTTTCCTGCCGTGGGCTCCCAGGCAGGGGGAGGCCGTGCAACTCCTGTGTGCCTGTGCTCTTGTGTGGGGAGGGGAGAAGCAGCATATGAACATTTCCCCCCAAGCCAGATCCGGTGCTGAGCCTCAGGGCTTCTCTCCCTCACTTCCACAAGAAGCCGGCGCTGGCTCCAATCTTGAGGGGGCTGCAAGGAGGAGCCTATTCATTGTGCACGTCACTGAAAATCATCTTGCATGCCCCTTATGGCACGCATGCTGTACGTTGCCGACTCCTGACTTAGACCATCCCTGACAGGTGTTGTCTAACCTGTTCTTAAAATCTCCAGTGACAGGGATTCCACAACCTCCCTTGGTAACATATTCCAGTACTTACCCTTATTGTTAGGAGGTTTTTCCTACTATCTATATCCTCCTTGCTTCAGTTTAAGCCTGTTACTTCTTGTCCCACCTTCGGTGGACACAGAAAAGAATTGATCGCTATGCTTTTTATAAAGGCCTTAATGTATCTGAAGACGGTTACCAGGCTCCTCTTTGGGCTTCCGCTCTCAAGGCTAATCATGCTGTGTGTTTTTGTTTTTGCTTTTCCTCATAGGTCAGGTTTGCTAATTCTTTCACCATTTTGGTTGTTCTCCTCTGGGGTTGTCCTCCAGTTTGTCAACATGTCTCTTAAAACGTGTCACCCAGCACAGCAAAGTATTCTAGCTGAGGATCATTAGATCCAAGTAAACTACTGTAGAAAAGTTATTTCCTGCATCTTACATACAACACTCCTATTCATACAGCGTAGAATGACAGAAGCCGTTTTCAGGACTGCATCATATTGCTGACTCATGTTCAATTTGTGATCCATCATAAGCACCAGATCCCTTTGAAAAGTAGTATTGCCTAGCCAGTTAGTCCCCATTTTGTAGCTGTGCATTTCATTTTTCTTTTCTAAGTGTAGCATTTAGCACTTATCTTTACTGAATGTCACCAAAGATTTTTCTGTCTGGAAAGGGGGAAGATCTGGAGTTTCTGGTATTGTTAAAGAATGGAAACCTTGTTCAGCCCTCACATTAAATAGCTTTACATAAATTATCCTGTAAAATCCCTTTAAGCCATGAGCTATACATTCATATTTTACTGAGAGATCAGAGGAAGAAGATCTACTCTAACTAAACTTCCTTAGTGGCAGTCACAATAAAGCCATACCTCTCCCTGCTGCCCAGAATGAATCCTATGCTGTTGACACAAAAAGCTAAAAGCCAATCATTTTTCTGATCTTCTTAAAATCCTCACTCATACATATCAAATTTCCCTGAAATCTAATCTAAACAAGCACTTTCCTCAGACCAGTACTTGACTGACACTTTCTTTGAAGCCCCAAAACAAGGAGACTATATTCTTTTTTTACATCCAAATAATCACTTGGAGGAATATTGCCTTCTAGACATAGCAAGTATTACCTGCACCAATGATCAATATTGTGCATATGTATGAGCCCCAAATTCCCTGTTTGTCCTTGAGCAACTAACAAAATTTGGAACCATATAGGTGACATTTTCCCAATGAGTTTGAATTAAGTTCTCCAAGGCAGACTACTTCAGTACATTTAATTCACTTTCTTCTTCCACAGCTATTTATAAACCTTCCAATGGCTGCTTGAAGGTTTAATTATTATTGTTTTAATATAAGATACTTAGCCAAAATTCATACTGAGCAATTATTTATTAATATGCACACCAGAGGCACTCATCACCTTAATATATGAGTGCCCCACTCTCTGCTTTAAACCTTTTAGAAGCTCTCTGCATCTATGGCCCTTCTCCTTTATAATCCAGGAACATTTCTCCATTTTAACTTGACTGATAATAGCTCAGATGCAGGAGTGAAGGGAAAAAAAGTAATATCAAGAAGCACTTCAGTTTTATGTGATCCCCAATAACTCAGAGGTTGATATTCTCCCTCAGAATTAAGTGTCCTCCACAAATGAGGGATACATTTTGAAGTAGGTCTGCATAAGTGGGTGCTGAGGAAATAAAGTAGGCTGCTAGACATTTGTATAAACTTGGAGCTCTTAAAAAAGAAATACTAGGAGGACGCTGGGGAGTTCAGGCAGAATATTAGACATAAGTAACAGATTGTGTCCCATTGCTCCATATACACTGAATACAAATAGGGCTGTCACACAAAACAGGGAATGAGCCACAGCACCTAAGACAGGGAAGGGATGGTAACTTGATTTCCTTTCCCAGTAGAAGGGGAATGGCCAATGCTTCCTCTAGTATCTGCTTAAATAATATCAGAAAGGTAGTTTATGACCACTAAGGACGGTTTAGGATCACCATAAGTTATTTTGTCAGATAACAACATAAGAACGGCAGTACTGAGTCAGACCAAAGGTCCAGCTAGCCCAGTATCCTGTCTGCCAACAGTGGCCAATACCAGATGCCCCAGAGTTAGGGGACACAACAGGAAATCCTCACATGATCCCTCTCCTATCATCCATTTCCAGCCAAACAGAAGCTAGGGACACCATTTCTGCCTATCCTGGCTAATAGCCAGTGATGGACCTAACTTCCATAAATCTAGCTCTTTTTTGAACCCTGTTAATATACTAGTCTTCACAACACCCTATGGCAAAGATGTAAAATTAAGCTGTATTTTGAAAGGTTTAACATTTTGCTTTACTACACTTAGGTCTTCACAGTGCCTTTACGAGATGCAGCGTTAATCTACAAAATGATGCACAGCTCTATTTTATATTCAAACAACTAGACGGAGTTGTGAATAAAAAACTATAAACATTTTATTAAACTGCTGCAGCATACAAAAAATGAGACAAAATTGATGTAATATACATGAAACATGTTATTTAAATTTGTTTTTGATCTTTTTACAGTTTTAATGTTTTCAATTTCATACAATTGACTTAGATAAATTCTCACTACAATCTATAATGTCCTTATTAAAAGTGTAGCACTTAACAGTAACTGCTGTAAATGTAGTTAAAGAGCTCTCTACATGATCAGTGAAGAAAGCATAAAAAGAGTAGTCTGAAGTTTAAGAAGAAAAGAATTTAATCATGCTTATCAAAATACAGTTTAATCTAATTGGTTCAGAAAATATTTCGGAAAAACCTTATTCAAACTTTGAGTGATTCATTTCCAATCATTTTATTTTCACTGTAACTAAATTTTTCTCAAAAGATATACAGTATTAATAAAAATATATTTTCAAATGGCCCTTCATTGTTCGATGTAGGCTTGATTTGTTATTAACTTCAAATATTTCTTCTCTAGGCCCTCTGTTTATGTTATTTTTTTGCAAAATGTATTTTAAAAATGGAACGAAAAATAGAAAAACACACTTACATGAAACAGACAATATAATCTAACATGTTTCTCCAGTAAGAATTATAAAAGAAAATAGCCCAATAACATAGTGTGGGAGCCCATATTGGATCTGAAGATTAATTCAAAATACTTTAATGGGTATAATTTTAGCCAGACTGTATGAGTCAGATCTTGCGATAGACTCCATTTATGTAAATCCTTATGTAGAATAACTGAAAAATATAAAGGAAAGGCTGATAGTTGACCATATACAGTGTTAAGGAAAGAATGTTAAGAGGGAGAAAAACAAACAAGTTTTACAGATATATTTTATTACCTTTTCCAGATCATTCAAGAAAGAATACAGGAGGAGTTTGCTGTAAAAAGGAAATCTTGGAAAAAATAGACCTGAAACTTCTTTTACTTAACCAGCCAATGATACTTGTAAGTGTTTTAAAGATATATCTTCTTGGTAAGAGAAGCAGCATGTTGGCTGTTGATGATAAAGGAAGAGAATTGGTAGAGTGACTCTGGGGAGGGTCTGAATGATTGAGAGTTTATGACACCTTTAAGACAAGAGGACATTGAGCTGTTTCATTACTTTTTCCCCTTTTGCTTTGAATTACGTGGGCTGCCAGCTTTTGATGGTTGGTTTAAATTTGCTTGGCAATCCATTTGTGATACTGCCAAGATATATGTTGTATATATCTCTCTTCTCTTCGTTTCAAGCCTGGTTCACCAAGTGGCAGGTAAGACACTATGTTATATGCAACTTATCTATTTTTTCTTGGTCCAGAAGTTTTTGTTTTTGTCCTTAGCAGCACAATGTATTTATCTCCTTTCCCTCTGCCAAGGATGTTAAATTTCAGGTAATCTGCTAACTGTGTTGCTGACAAATACTTTGTTGGTTACACAGTTACCCGATAAGCAGCGCTGCATTGCAAGTACCTTAGAAGCCAGCGGGTAGGTAGGCTGGTTCAGTCCCAGCTTGAGATGGATACTGGTAGCTATCCCCGTTGCAGCTCTGCATTAAAAGTATCTTAGGACTAAAGGTTGAAGGGTAATTGGTTAAACGGTTGACCAATTAAATGGGATTTTACTTCCCTAAGAACAGAGTACCCCCAATTTATACTTAAACATTAATTCCAAGAGAGAAGCAGGGATTATTTTATAGAGTACTCCCAATTTATACGTAAACATTAATTCCAAGAGAGAAGCAGGGATTATTTAATTGAAAAAAATTAATAGGACTTGCACACACAAGCCCGATGTGCCATTTTGGAATTTTAATTATAATACAGGAGCAGACTGAGACAATTACATGTAAAAAAATCTGTGCCTTATACATGTATTTAAATTAAGTACACTTACATTTTTTAATTTTCACAACTGCATACAATGTTTTCTGACCCAGAGATGATCAGCCAGTTACATATGGGTCTGATCTTGCTTAAATAAAATTCAGTGGAAACAGTACCATTGATTTTGGGAGGAAGGATCAATCTATATGAAGCATTAGTGACTATCAACTCTTCCACTCCAAATATTTTGACTTCTATTTGTGAACTGAAGAGGGAAAGGACATGAAGTGGCATTTCATCCATTAGAGATTAAAGATCAATATACAGATATGTGAGCTGTTATATCATCAGTAAATTACAAACCTACCATATCATAGCTTTAGGTTCCCACAAGCCCATCATAAATGCAACACATACGCTCCTCCACAGCAGAAACAGGGGGCAGGTGGAATTTCAGATACTGGTCTATTAATATTATATGCTGATCCTGTAGTTGACAAAGCCATGTTGATTAAGGTTTACACACACATATCCTGTAAAACAAATCAACATATACTTTCAAATAATATGAGGCATTGCTATTGGACATACCTCTTGTTGTATTGCTCTGAACATGTAGCTTTTTATGTGTAATCTTAACCAGGGGAGTTAAAAGTACATGTAACTGATTAAGTGTGTAACTGCTCAAAATTTCAGCAGTTACATGGTTACATGCGGGGCAGCAGCCAGCTCCCTAGGAGCCAGTACACACTGGGAACCAGCTTTTAAGCTGGCTCCTGGTGTGCACCTACATTTCCCTGCCACTCCTTCGCCCAAACTCCCTTACAGACTCCAGTCTCCCTCCTGCACCCCAATACCTTACCCCAAGCTCCCTTCTGCACCCATCCTCCATCCCAGACTGCACACCTCCTCCACTAATACCATGGAAGAGCACAGCTCTCAAGCACTTTCCAAAAACTTGGAGTGGCCCCCCCCAACCAAAAATTATTGACTAACCTTGTGACTCCCGCAACTCTTTTACAGGTCAGTATGCCTACAAATACAACAATATAAAATTTCAGATTTAAATAGATTTCAAATTTAAATAATAAAATTGACTATTTAAAAAAGCCTGTGACTGTGCATTTGACCTAAATGAAACATGAATTTGATAGGGCCATAGATGCAAAGTACTCTCTTTTGTAAGATTTTTATTTTTAAATTTAAAAGATTGGTACTCTAGCAAAAGGACTCTCTGTGTCCTGGTTGGCTTTATTCCTATGTCTCATATTGCTGCATTTCCAGTTAATGGTGTGACTGTAATGAGAAGTAATTTAAATAATGGAGACTGAAGCAGAAGAAGCTATAAGGACACAATGCAGAAATTGCCACAGTTTATCAACATCACTGGCATCCAGCTCTTTATTATTGCTTTGAGCAGGGTCAAAGTAGTTAAAGTGATGCTGTAAATACTGACTAAAACAAAGCAGCTGTTTATTCATGGTTTGGCACAGAATATTTGTAATGAACTATATATGTTTCCTATCCATGGGTTATTAGGCACAAGAGCATAATTGATATTAACCAACTTTCAGGCTTGCGTAACTTTTTCTTACAGCTTATCTAAATAATTTTTTAAATCACAAGTAGTATATTCAAAACAGCAAGGAAAAGGAAATGTATTAAAAGTCTGTATCTATTATCACTGGGATGCCAGTACCTTCAGTAATGCAATTAAGTAACAGAACCCTAATAAGACAGCAATATACACATTAGTTTCCTAGCCTCAGAGGGAGTTCTTCTTAGAAGCAAACACACTGAGACTGTGATCACATTCCAATACGTGCTCTGAAATGCCCAGTTTCTGCTACTGTGCTTTAGTATTTCTGATAGGATTGTATTGATGCTATTATGTTTTTAGCAAATACAGGAGCTATACTTAAAACAAAAAAATAAGTTTTGTTTAGTTAAACGTAGCCAAAACATCCTCTATAAAAGTACATTATGTTCAGACTAGGGAAAGGGCACAATTAAAAGACACAGATATCGCAATCCTGAATAATTACTATAAATATGTTGGTATAAACATGATTGGGAGAAACAGAAATGTCCCGTGTGATCACTGAGTGTATTCCCTGCAAGTTCATAAGTCCTCAATAGAGGGCATTTCAGACACTGAACTAATTTTAGCCAAAGACTAAGAGGTGAGTGGAGGAGACATTTGGGATATGCCCCATTTCCAGACCTTCATCCTTGTTATCAAAGCAAAAACATGAATTATGCTACTAAGCCCAGCTTCCAACTATGTTTGGATGTGCATGAGCTCTGCTAAGAATAAAATGTTGCAGATGTCCAAGTTAAGATCAGGGTAAAACTCAGAATGTTGCTTCCACAATTTAAGAGATTTAAGTTTATATAGATCATTTTACATTTGTGAGAGATTTACTTACATTAACATAAGAACATCATAAGAATAAAAACAGCCATACTGGGCCAGACCAAAGGTCCATCTCACCCAGTATCTTTCCTTCCGACAGTGGCCAATATCAGGAGCCTCAGAGGGAATGAACAGAACAGGAAATCATCAAGTAATCTATCCCCCGTTGCCCATTCTTAGCTTCTGACAAACAGGGGTTAGGGACACCATTCCTACCCATCCTGGCTAATAGCCATTGATGGAACTAACTTCCATGAATTAATCTAGATCTTTTTTGAACTCTATTGAAGTCCTGGACTTTGCAACATCCTCCGACAAGGAGTTCCACAGGTTGTGCATTATGTGAAGAAATGCTTCCTTTTGTTTGTTTAAAACTTGCTATCTAGTAAATTCATTTGATGACCCCTAGTTCTTCTGTTATGGGAACAACTAAATAACTTTTCCTTTAACACAAATGAGTAGTCATGTAGCACCTTAGAGACTAACAAATATAGCTATACATAGAGCGAGAGAGAGAAGCATGAGTTTTCATGGGCAAAACTTGCTAACTCTCATCTGAGGAAGTAGGTCTTGCCCACGAAAGCGCATGATACAATATATACACATATATACCAGTTAGTCTCTAAGGTGCCATGGGACTACTCAATTTTTTAAAGTTACAGACTAACACAGCTACTCCCTGAGACTTAACTTTTCCTTATTTACTTTCTCCACACAAGTCATGATTTTATAGACCTCTATCATATCCCTCCTTATTCTCCTGTTTTCTAACCTACCAAGTCCAAATCTTATTAATCTCTCCTCATATGGCAGCCATTCCAAGTTTCTAATAATTTTTGTTGCCCTTTTTGGAATGTTTTCCAATAGCAACATATATTTTTGAGATGAGGTGATCACATCTACACACATTACTCAAGATGCAGGCGTACCACGGATTTATATCTCTGTCTTAGTCTTTATCCCCTTTTTAATGATTCTTAACATTCTGTTTGCTTTTTTGACTATTGCTGCACGTTGATTGGATATTTTCATAAAACTATCCACAATGACTCTAATATATCTTTCTTGAGCGGTATTAGCTATTTTAGGTCAAAAGAACTAGTCATTTATTAAATAAATGATCAACAGGGTACTGAGGTCTGATTATTTCTAAATATATTTACAGATTATTTAAATGAGATGAATATGTAAACTTGTTTCTTGTTTCAGTAACAAGAATATATAACTGTGTACATTTGTCTTCTGATACCTTACTTCAATTAAAAACGAGTAATCCTGTGGCACCTTAAAGACCAACAAAAATATATATATGTAGTATCATGAGTTTTCATGGGCAAAACCGGCTTCTTCAGATGTAATGATCTTGCATGTACAAAAAAAAAAGGGGGGGGGGGGGAGAGAGAGAAAGCAAAAGAAAATTACCTGCCATGTGTAGTCCCAGTGCTAATGTGGCTAATTCAGTGGGCTGGAAGTGTCCCATACTTAGCTTTTGATGTAAATAGAGTGCTGAATGTACAGGACGCTGGTTAAACAATATGTTTACCACTTCAACTCTTTGTTCCGGCTAAGGGAGAGGGTGTCAAATTTGCATATGAAGGTCAATTCTGCACTCTCTCTCGTTAGTGGGCTTGTGAAATTCTTTTGTAGAAGAATGGCTACTTTTAAGTCCATTAACGTGTGCTCAGGCAGGTTAAAATGTTCCCCTATAGGTTTCTGTGTGTTACCATTCCTAATGTCTGTTTTGTTTCATAAGAATATACATAAGAACACCCATACTAGGTCAGACCAAAGGTCCATCTAGCCCAGTATCCTGTCTGCCGACAGTGACCAAAGCCAGATGCCCCAGAGGGAGGGAACACAATAGGAAATCATTACATGATCCTTCTCCTATCATCCATTTCCAGAAAAAAGGAGGCTAAGGACACCATTCCTACCCATCCTGGCTAATAGCCATTGATGGACCTAACCTCAATGAATCTATCTAGTTTAGTTCTTTTTTGAACCCTGCTAATGTTCCAGTCTTCACAACATCCTCTGGCAAAGAGTTCCACGGGTTGATTGTGCGTTGCATGAAGACAACATTACACAGCTTGGGAAGTAATGATGGTTCTTCCAGATGTGTCCCCCCCCTCGGTAGGGCTTGTCCTGGTGCCGCAGATCGGAATCTTCAATAGCAGTAGTCAGCCGGATTGCGCAAGCGCAGTCAGCATCTAGTGACCTTCGCGCTCTTTCTCTCATGTACGCTCTTTCTCTCACTCCCCTCCACCCCCAAGATTAACGCTGCGCTGATGCTACCTCCAGGGATTACGGAGGTAGCACAGGCTTCCTGCGGGGTTGAAGGGAGTTCTTCAGATACGCACCAGGTCCCGAAAGTGCGCAGGCTGCTCTCTCACCCCACAACAGTCGGTGCGGTACCTAAAACACCAGTCCATCGCGCGCTGGGGACTTTGTTCCCATGCTTCCTTCCTGCGCGCAGGAGAGAGGCCGGGGGTCCGGGACTGCACCAGCTCCAGCTGCTAGGGTGGCGCACACTGCCATGGGGAGTGGAGGACCAAGGTGCACGCTGCCCAAGCGGTTGGGGCTGGCATGGTCCAGGACTCTCTCTCACCCCTCCCCTGTGCAGGAAGGCAGTGGGGAATAAAGTTCCAGCGCGCCGGCTCCAGCTGCTTGGGTGGCCCCCACTGCAGTGGGGAGCAGAGGAGCAAGGCATGCGGTGCCCCAGCTGTTGGGGCTGGCGCGGTCCAGGACTCCCTCTTTCTCCTTCCCCCACACGGGAAGGCAGCAGGGGAATAATGTCTCCAGCGTGCCAGCTCAGCTGCTCGGGGGACAAGCAGTTGGGGCTGGCGTGGTCCGGGACTCCCCCTCCCCGCAGCAGCAGCAGGTTGGGGGATGGAGGAGCAGTCCATGTACTTTCAGGGCCTTAGCGTGCAGCTGCAGGATCTCCAGGTACTGGTCCCTATCCCCTCCCCCCACCCAGACCCCCATAAGTACCCTGCCCTAGTACCCACCGGCACCCTGCGCCAGCACCCTGTACCCTGCTCCCACCAGCACAGTTTGGGGCCATATTAGTGAGGTTTGGAGGGGTTGTATTTTGGTATCTCACTTGTGTGGCCCCGA